GCGCGACGGCTGCAGCGCTGCTGAAGTCGCTGGGATGACCGCGCGGCAGGCCGTAGGCGGCCAGTCCGGCCGTCAGCGGCGTGGCCGACCGCGACGAAGCCGGCCCACCGGCCGCGCCGAGCGGCTGACCCGAAGACGGTGGTGACCCAGCGCCGCTGTCGCTGCCGCTGCCGCCGCCGCCGCCGCTGCCGCTGCCGCTGCCGCCGCCGATGTTGACGCATCGACCGGTCCCGGCGCGGCCGGTCGATGCGGCCGCGTGAAAGCCGGGCGCTGCCGAGTCGCCGTTAAGCACGGCAGAGCTGACGCCAGCGCCGGCGGCCGCCGAAGCGATGGCGGCGATGGCGGCGGCGCCGTGCGGCAGGCAGTGGTGCGCCGACATGCCGCCGAGCTCGGCGTGCCCATTGATCGCGCCCGCGGACGAGTGGTGCGTCGCGTGGCCGGCGTGGCCGGCGTGCTGGCCCACTTGGGCGGCTTCGCTGGCGCCGGCTCCACTCGCCGCTGATTGGTGCGAGTGCGGATGGTGAGTGTGATGCTGCTGTTGCTGCTGTTGCTGTTGTTGTTGTTGCTGCTGCTGCTGCTGCTGCTGCTGATGCTGATGCAGCGAGTGATGCGAATGGAGTCCTTGCATGTGGGCGGCTGCCGAGCCGGGGTAAGCGGAGAAGCGCTGGTAAAAGTTCTCCAACGCCTCATCGGCCACCGCCCCACCGCCACCGCCACTGCTCCCGCCACCGCCACCGCCACCGCCACCGCCGCCGCCACCGCCACCGCCAGCACCGGCACCGACCGGCGTCATTTGCCCGCCGAGCGGACTCGAGCCAATCATGCCGCCGGGCACGTGGTGGTGTCCCGGGCCAGGCTGCACCGACATGCCGACAGCGGCGTTGGCCGCAAACGCCGGGTAGCTGGCGGCAGACCAGGGCCACAGGAAGAGGCCGGCTCGGGTGCGCGGATCAGTTCCGCTCACGTCCATGCTGTCTGCCTCGACGAGGCCCGTCACGCAGGCCGCCACAAAATCGCGTCGCGTTGCCTGCTCGCGCACTCACACACAAACAGACACACGCGCAGACGCTGAGAGTCACTCGGATGTCGGCCTTAGGCCGGCGCCGTCCGGCGGCTATACTCCGTGGGTGGGAATCCGAGATGGGAAAAGGGTGGAGAGGTAGTCACTGTTGCAAATAGGTGCACAAAATCCTTGTCTGTTTGTCGGCTAGACTCCGAGAGGAATGGGCACAAACGAGGAGCTGGACAAAATGATGTCGTCGTCGAGGCTGACTGGGACATTGTCGCCTCGGCATTGCGCAAGTGAAGGGGCTACACTCGACGCGTCCGTGCTTGCCTCTTTCTCTTTCTCCCTCTCTCTCACTATCTATCTATCTATCTATTTCTCGCTCACTCGCGTGTGTGTGCGTGTGGGTGGGCGGGTGGATGTGAGTTGGCAGATAGAGGGCACAAAAGGAGGCTGGAGAAGGAAGAAGTATCGCCGCCGCCGCCACCGCCACCACCGCCGCCTCCGCCGCCGCCGCCTCGGTGAGGTCAAAGGGGGGCGGTGTGGAGGGGAGTGGGTGGAGCAAAGTGGTTCGCAAACGCGCAGAAGGTGCGCCGACGTCGAGGAGCTGCGGCAGTCGAGGCGCGAGGTGGTGGACGGGTCGACGTGTGCGGATCGAGGCCCGCTTCACATCGTCGTGGTGCGACTGCCCGCGCGGCAAACAGACACCGACCGACACCGACAGACGACTCACAATTAACAACTCACAACTCACAACTCACAACTCACACTCGCCTCCTCGTCATGCGGCGCACGCACGCACGTACGCATGCACACATGCATGCATGCACGCACGCACGCACGCACACCCGACTAGACACAACCGCCGGGTCACACACACACACAAACAAAGCGGGGACTCGAACTGGGACTCGCCGGCTGCCGTTCAGCGTGCGCCGACCGTCGGCGGAGGCATGCTCGTGTCGCCCACCTGGCGCTGAAGCGGAGGATCGAATCGAATCGGATCGGATCGGATCGAATCTGATCTGATCGGATCTGATCTGATCTGATCTGATCGAATCGGATCGGGACGGATCGGGTAGGGGTCAAGTTGGCGGTGCTGCCTGTTCGTCGTGGAGGCCGTGGAGGCGCGGCAAGTGAAGGGAGGCGATGAAGGCGGCCGAGGCGACGAGTAAATGTGTCAGAATAAGAGAGTCCCACTGGCTGAATGGACGGTCTCCAGTTTGTTCAAGTTTTGGGGCAAAACGTAACGCAAGCCGAGGCGAACCTGCGCACTTGCAGGCACATCAAGACAAACCAGCAGGCTACAGACACACAGAGACACACACATCGGCGCACGAGTCGACACATGCACCCGGGCACTCGGGCACACAGGCCCTCGTGCACACAGGCACGCAGGTAG